CACAACGGGTTGCCCTGCTGCGCCACAACGGGTTGCCCTGCTGCGCCACAACGGGTTGCCCTGCTGCGCCACAACGGGTTGCCCTGCTGCGCCACAACGGGTTGCCCTGCTGCGCCACAACGGGTTGCCCTGCTGCGCCACAACGGGTTGCCCTGCTGCGCCACAACGGGTTGCCCTGCTGCGCCACAACGGGTTGCCCTGCTGCGCCACAACGGGTTGCCCTGCTGCGCCACAACGGGTTGCCCTGCTGCGCCACAACGGGTTGCCCTGCTGCGCCACAACGGGTTGCCCTGCTGCGCCACAACGGGTTGCCCTGCTGCGCCACAACGGGTTGCCCTGCTGCGCCACAACGGGTTGCCCTGCTGCGCCACAACGGGTTGCCCTGCTGCGCCACAACGGGTTGCCCTGCTGCGCCACAACGGGTTGCCCTGCTGCGCCACAACGGGTTGCCCTGCTGCGCCACAACGGGTTGCCCTGCTGCGCCACAACGGGTTGCCCTGCTGCGCCACAACGGGTTGCCCTGCTGCGCCACAACGGGTTGCCCTGCTGCGCCACAACGGGTTGCCCTGCTGCGCCACAACGGGTTGCCCTGCTGCGCCACAACGGGTTGCCCTGCTGCGCCACAACGGGTTGCCCTGCTGCGCCACAACGGGTTGCCCTGCTGCGCCACAACGGGTTGCCCTGCTGCGCCACAACGGGTTGCCCTGCTGCGCCACAACGGGTTGCCCTGCTGCGCCACAACGGGTTGCCCTGCTGCGCCACAACGGGTTGCCCTGCTGCGCCACAACGGGTTGCCCTGCTGCGCCACAACGGGTTGCCCTGCTGCGCCACAACGGGTTGCCCTGCTGCGCCACAACGGGTTGCCCTGCTGCGCCACAACGGGTTGCCCTGCTGCGCCACAACGGGTTGCCCTGCTGCGCCACAACGGGTTGCCCTGCTGCGCCACAACGGGTTGCCCTGCTGCGCCACAACGGGTTGCCCTGCTGCGCCACAACGGGTTGCCCTGCTGCGCCACAACGGGTTGCCCTGCTGCGCCACAACGGGTTGCCCTGCTGCGCCACAACGGGTTGCCCTGCTGCGCCACAACGGGTTGCCCTGCTGCGCCACAACGGGTTGCCCTGCTGCGCCACAACGGGTTGCCCTGCTGCGCCACAACGGGTTGCCCTGCTGCGCCACAACGGGTTGCCCTGCTGCGCCACAACGGGTTGCCCTGCTGCGCCACAACGGGTTGCCCTGCTGCGCCACAACGGGTTGCCCTGCTGCGCCACAACGGGTTGCCCTGCTGCGCCACAACGGGTTGCCCTGCTGCGCCACAACGGGTTGCCCTGCTGCGCCACAACGGGTTGCCCTGCTGCGCCACAACGGGTTGCCCTGCTGCGCCACAACGGGTTGCCCTGCTGCGCCACAACGGGTTGCCCTGCTGCGCCACAACGGGTTGCCCTGCTGCGCCACAACGGGTTGCCCTGCTGCGCCACAACGGGTTGCCCTGCTGCGCCACAACGGGTTGCCCTGCTGCGCCACAACGGGTTGCCCTGCTGCGCCACAACGGGTTGCCCTGCTGCGCCACAACGGGTTGCCCTGCTGCGCCACAACGGGTTGCCCTGCTGCGCCACAACGGGTTGCCCTGCTGCGCCACAACGGGTTGCCCTGCTGCGCCACAACGGGTTGCCCTGCTGCGCCACAACGGGTTGCCCTGCTGCGCCGCAACGAGCCGCCCCACCGCACCGCCATGTCGCGTCGCTGTGTCGCGTTGCTACAATGCACAACTGCAACGCATCGCCAAAATGCACCGCCGCACCTCCATCCTCTCCTTTAGACCCCTATTTATAGGCTCAAAAAGTGCATTGGCCAAAAAATGCACATTAATATAGATTAAAAAGAAGTGCAAGCATTAAATGCTCATAAATAATAATGAATAAAAATTTTTTATATAAAAAAAAATCTTTTCAATTTTTATTCATTCTCTTTTGCTCTTTCGAATACCTTAATTTCTTCAAATTCCTTTATAAAATATTATTTATTCAGTTTTAGGCAGGATTTAAACCCCCCTTTTCCACATAAAACATAAGATATTAACCAACTAAGTTGAGTTTAACTTTCTATTTATATAAGAATAAAAATGATTATTAACTAAGTAATATACATATTCTTACACATAAATACTCTGGATATTGATATTTTTGGATGATAAAAAGGGTCTCTCCTGAAAATAGGGGGCAACTAATACACCACCAATAAATTTTTATCATACAACATAAATCTCGACGCATGACACGAATCTCTAGATGATATTTTAAGCAAGAAACATCAAATCTTGATTAAAAGTCATCCATAGCTTTGATTTCAACAAACTTATAGTCAAACTGACATGTTCAATGAGACGAACTTAATGATATGAAAACTAGCTCGATCCACGTCAAATCAAGCCCATATCAAGTCATTAAACCACATTTAGAAAGTCAAACGGCTGTCAAATATGACAAGTTTATACTCAAATCGAGTGGCTTGACAAGACGAATTCAACGAGTCCAAGGTCACTAAATTCTGACATCATTAAGGCACTCAAATGTCCATTAAACCTCGTATGTTCGATCAAAGTGGTTTATATTCATGCATTAATTGCACGCAGAACCCTATAAATAAAGTCTCATCCCTCTCATGAGAGGAGAGGGAGTCTAGAGAGAGACTGAGGTCTCGAGGAGAAGCTGCAGCTCAGCATCATCACCAATCGTCGTCGATCGTCGTTGATCGCTGATGACCACCGCCGACCTCAGACAACCACTGTCGACCGTCGTCGACTACTGCTGACGACCGTTGACCATCGCCAACCATCGTCATCCTCCACCTACCGTCTTCAATCTCTACCAACTAGACGCCGACAGTCGACGTTGTAACTTGAAAAATATATTTACCCTTTCCCGTATGTGGAAAAAGAGATTTCTGCAATCATCAATTAATAGTGGATTTCCGCAAGTGGGCCAGACCCCGTGGTCTTTCCCCTTACGGGTTTTAACGGGTTTTCCACGTTAAAATTTCTAGAATTATTACATTTTTTTTTCTATTTCATCTGTGTGTGTGTTGAACTTTCGTACAACACTAAAACAATAATTTGTTACTCTACCGCCACAAATTTTCTAGCACGCATCAATTGCACATTTATTCCTAATAGTTTGATAATTCATCATCCATTTGATATTCTTGTTGAATTAGTTACCAAGGTTTACGCAACAAGATTTTGGATATATTTGCTATGAAATTGGTAAACATTAAGCATGGATTATTTAGAACTCAATGGTTAAATGAACTAAATTTAGTTCTAAAAGGATAGCTCGAGCTTTATTTATGAACTAAATTTAGTTCTAAAAGGATAGCTCGAGCATTTTTATTCAGCTCGAGCTTTATTTGTGTCATAATGGTTGAGAGTATTGTTTCTCACTGTGAGATCACATATTTGAATCGTGCATAATACTATTAGGGCTCACCTTTTCCCTGAAAAAAGGATAGCAAATTTATTTTTGAATGCAAGAGTGTCATCTTACATTAATTTTTATTTCTAAGTATGATTAGATTAATATATTTATAATGTTCTTATTATATTTAAATTTTAAAATAAAATTTGCTTTAAAATGATAAAATGTCCTTTAAAATATTAGAGCCTTTTTGGGATTAATTTTATTTCTTGACTTTAAATATTAATCAATTTTTTTTAAATAAGTTTATTTGTTTTTAATATGACAATTTTATTTTATTTTATTTTAAACAAAATATAACTAAGATATTTGTTTTTAATATGACAATTTTATTTTATTTTAAACAAAATATAACTAAGATAAAATAAAAAAAATGAAAAAATAAAAAAATAAAAGTGATTCCGGAGGCTCTCCTAGTAATATGTGCTTTGCAGCAGGTAACATAAGATGCAAGTGTTCCATTTAATCTTAAGGAGAATAAATATTAGGGTTTTCTCTCTATATTCTCTCTTTACTCTCCCAGACTATGAAAGAACCATTTTCCTTTTCTGCTTATGATGTTTCCATTACATAGAAGTAGAACATTAGCTATAATTATGAAGGCATGAAAATTTAGAGGGTTTTGATTGTATATATTCTAGACCTTAGTCAATAGAAACCTAATGTCAACTTTAATGGCTGGTGTTGGGATTAAAGTCACACTTGTGTACAAATGGACTCTATCGGGAACTGTGATTGCGCTTCGGCTTCGCCATTTTTGTTTTTAAGCATCCGTCCTGCAGATTTTGTAGATGACATATAGGTCTTTATAGTTTCTTCCACAGTAATTCTGAAAATGACAGTTGTAGGGCAAAAAAATATCACGTCTCGTTGTGCTTATGTGCAGATAAGCATTGAGATTCAAGTAAGCCGCTGTTTAAAAAATATATTATAAACCAAAAAGTTATGTTCTCAAGGCAGAAATGGTGTTGAAACCAAACGGAATCGATTGAGTTTGCATTAATGATGATTTAATATCGTTTTAAGATTAGATTAACTGGTTCGCTTCAGATACCAATTGATTTGAAAAAAATCCCAAATTGCTTTCAACTTCGAATCACAATGGGCAAAATAACTGCGCTCATCTGGAGAAATTTCTCGTGAGATGATTTCAAAGCTTAATTGTGGCAATTGCATAACCGTGCACGTGGCTTAGTACGTGCAATTCCACATTTTACAATTTTTTGTGATAGAAATTTTAAATTGATTCTTAAAATAAATAAATGAATAAATAAATAAAGTTTGATTCTAGATAAATATCTTAAATATAAAATTAATTAAGCATTTTGTTCTAAAATTTTTTCCTCGTTCTGATTAAAGTTTGTGCTTTTTTAGTAGAAAATTTCGTTTAAAACTGCATAATGGAAGTTATAATAACAACTGTTGTAAAAGTTAAAATTGAACTAATTATTAGTTAATTTAAATTTACAGACTTTACACTTTTGGCAATTAAATATAAATGAAAATAAAAAAATAACCGTGCACATGCAGGTGAAAAGCGTTCTTTCCAAATGTAAGAGTTCTTTTGAAAAGCAGAGATATCGAAAGGCGGGGTTAATTAATCGCTGAGACTTTTATATGTTCCCCACCCTCAAAAAAGGAAAATCAAGAAGAAAGGGATCGTCTTCCATCCTACGTTCAGCCTGTTTTTGGGATATCGGTCTTCTATAAAATCTTCACTACTCCTGACTCCTCATATCTCTAATAATATATATCCACCAATTTTGAAGACTAGTGAAGATTAAAATGGCTCAGAAATCATCAAACTTGATGGCTTGGCTCGCTCTCTTCTCCTTGCTCCTTGCAGCTCTCTTTGCTGGAGCAGGGTGAGCGTGCGAATTAATTACCTTTTTCATTTCCTCTCTCTCTCTTTGTAAATGTATATATTTGGGTAGGTTCATGCATGCATGTATGTAAAATTTCAGGTGCTGATGGGGCACATGATGAGATGGGAGTGAATAAAGAGCAGCATTATGGATATTGTACTCCTGTTCCATGCTATCATACTCCCGGAGGGCTTTGTTATTGCTGTCCGAAATGGGACGGTTGCCCGTTGAACTTTGACACTCAAGCCAAGTGCGAGAAGGAATGCCCCAAGTAGCTCCCAGGCCAGCCTCTGGCTACCTCCATTTTCTTCATCAAACCAGTAGTGCCATGTTAGGTTTTTGCGTACGTATTATGCAATAAGTGAGTTGAGCATGCAGAGGGAATATAATGATCTTTGCTGCATGCTTTCATCGTGAATTATGTGCTTAGCATTTCATATGATGGAGCCATGCATTTAATGATAGTTTGTTTAAATCTTAAAATTTTTTAAGATTTAAATATCTTGAGATTACATTGACGTTTGAAACTAATTATATTGTATTTCCGCCTTCCATTGGTTATAGTACTTTTAAGGGCCCACGAACAGTTTCCATTTCATGCATCCTGTCACGGACTAATAGTCCCACATGGGCTAGATGTAGGGCCGAAAAGCAGTATTTAAGTTTTGGGCTGCCCACCACCCACAAGGGCTCTTTTGGGAGGTGACAAGTGGTATCAAAGCAGATTACTGTCTGTCAGGTGTGTGGACTATCCGGAGCCGATCCGTGACGAGGGCGTCACGTGATTGGGTGGAGGAGAATTTCACAGACAAATAGTCTCACATTGGCTAGGTGGAGGGTCGAAAAGCAGTATTTAAGTCCTGGGCTGCCCACCACCCACAAGGACTCTTTTGGGAGGTGACAATCCGCTCATATAAACATAGCTTCGGGGAATATCTGGTATTTTTTCAATGCAATTAATAGGTAATTGAGTTTTTCAAATAAATAAATAAATAAATAAATAAATAAATAAATGTTAAACAAATGTGACATTTAATTCTCTATCCAAATGAACAATAAGAGAACTAAATAAAGTCTTAAAACTCAACTTATTAGCCCCAATGATGAGCCCATATTTTTTTGTGAACTCAATTTTAAGAATCACACACGTTAGAAAAAAATTAAAAAAACATTTACTTGAGGTATTATTAGAGGATAATACATGTTAAGTAAACTTTAATCTTAGGTTATTTTCTGTATCTTCACATGTATAAGAACTGTGAATGTGTTTATAATCACTCAAAACTCATTTCAAATATTCTAAATCTAATTCATATAATTTTTTTACAATTAATGAGCTTGTATATATATCTTTAAATAATTAATTCATCCCAAAGTTTTTTCAGAAAAAAATATTATTTTATTTTTATTCAAAAAATTAATAATTATAATAATATTATATTTTAACGAGTCAATTTTGAGCCGAACACGAACACTAATAAGTTTTTCGAGCCGAACACGAACACAGTGTTTACGAACCAATTTCGAACGAGTCGAACACCAGCCAAGTCTGAGCTCGCCCAAACTCGACTAGTTTACAACCCTAATCACAACCAGGATCAGAAAGCTGGTAAACTCTAACTACATGCATGGGTGGTCCCCACATACAAAATAGGTTTATATATATATATATATATAGTCCAACACACAGTTTGGCGGCAATGGGGAGGAATACAGGACTGATTTTAGTAAGGACTGTACCTCCAACACAACTAGCTTTTCTTTTACATGGAGATAATTTGTCCATTATTATAAAGTTAATTTACTTGAAACAAATTTTCATTAATTGATATAAATATTAAAATTATTAGAAAATTAATTTTAAGCACGTTATATTCATTTAGAAATTAGATAAATATAATTTTTAAAATATTTACACATTTATTATATTTATCATAAAGCAAATTTAATAATTTTGAGATTTATATAAATTAAAACTTTACGAAATACAGCTTAACAAATATGTTTTTATTTAAGACAGTTATAATTACTTTAAATGATTATATAATTTTTCTGAATTTTTCTTATAATTCACTTAAAATATTTTTTTTTTAAGAAAATAGATAAAACATGTGTTGCACATATGCTATTTACTTTCACATATTTTGATTTATAAAATTAAGCAAAATCTGGATTGATTAACATGTCGAAGTCTTCAACAATTAATTTGTTTAAATAATAATAAACACTCTTAAATTTTTTCAAATTAATTTTAAAATTAAAAAAAAAATTATTTTACACTCTATTTTTACACTAAAATAAAAAATGTGTTTGTAGTCACTCAAAACCCACTTAAAAAATTCTAAATCTAATTCATATAAAATTTAAAAATTAATTGGCTTGTATATTTTTTTT